TTACCACCACACGGACCCGGACCCAGACCCAGACCCAAAACAATATTCCGAATTGGGACTAATGTGTCCGTCCCGTCCGGCCGTCCGTCTTTCCGTCTCCCTGCCTGAACCTACTACGCTACTTATATTACCCTTTTCACTTTCTCACGTACGCGCCGGATCTAACGATGACCTAATTGAGACGTCTCGTACTTACCCTTTTTGTACTTGTATTTTACACTTTCTTCCCTTTTCCCTTTTTGTCATTTTTTTTGAACAATTTCTGGCGTTTTTTTTTGCTTTCCCCCTTTCTCATGATAACTAACCTACTAACCTAACCCACTGACTACCATTACTGTATGTATTATTGATTGTTATGAGAGCATGATATCATTGATGGAACTGACTGAGACATGAGAAAAAAGATGGAAAAAGAAAGAGAAAAAGGAAAAAGAAAGCATATAGGAGAGTTGATTGGTTGATCGACGGAGATTGGGGATGTATTTTACTTGGAGATGTTGATTTTTGATTGATTGATTGATTGATTGATTGACCATGTTATTTAAGGCTGATCTGACTATGTCAGTCAGTCAGATAGATGAGATGAGATGAGATGAGATGAGATGGATGACTCATGAGTGAAATGATGAAATTGATTGAATGCATCATGCCTTTTTTTCATTCCCAATATTGGGTTTGCTTTGATTCAATAGAAGTAACTAATTCATTCTATCTATGTAAATGTATGTATTCAGTGTTTGTGTTCAGTAAACCCCGTTAACGCCCCCTCGACGCACGCCGTAAATCTCACTCTGGAAAAGTCATTGGAAAACCCTCACCTCGCACACATAAGTAGAGGAAATAAGAAATAAGATCATGCACATATAAACTATGATCACATCCAATACCAGAGCACATCAAACATAGTAGTGAACCCAACCCCATGATCCCGTTCTATCCCGGCCTTACCCTCTGCAGTGAACATTGATGATGATGATAATATATGTGTACATCGATAACAACTATAGGCTTGGCTAGCCAGTTAATGCGTTCTTTATCACAACTAATGTTGGAAGGAATGCATGCGGCTAAGTAGCCACTGCTTTAGTTCCAGTGTTCGACCCATTAACAACCAGAGGCCCGCAGTGCTCGCCCGATTTGGACGACGCTGAAGTCGACGAAGACAGCGACGATGACCTCGGGCTGTTGTTGCCAGGACCATATGGTCCTTGGTTCTTTGCGACCGGGCCGTTCGCGTTAGCTAATGGAACCGAACCGGTGTGTCTCTCGCGGGTCAGGCTGTACGCGAGATGAAGACTCCGGTCAATCTTGACGCGGATTTTCGCGTCCATGAAGTTAATGCCGTTGTACTGCGCTACAACACGCTTGGCTTCATCCGCTGTGCGTAGGGTTATCCGCGCGAAGCCTTTGCAGCGCCCGGTATCAGGGTCCGTGGACACCTCTGATTGCTCCACTGTGGCGCCGCTTTCTTCGATGAAGGCGCAAAGGAGCTTGTCAGTGGTGGTGGGACTGAGGTTCTGCACGAATATAGTTCGTCGTGGGGAAGAACGGGGGCCTGGGCCCCCGGTGTGGTAGATCTGCGGCGCGAACGCCGGGTTGTAGCCGTAGGAAGCTTTGCCGGACATGTGGGCCCGACATCCGGGTAGACTAAAGCCGCCATGTGCTGGGGCGTCAGGGAACGGTGGCGTGGTCGTAAAAGGATATGTGGGGAGAAAGGGAACAGCAAAGGCGTCGCCGAAGGACTGGCGGAGAGGAGCGGGCGACGGTGGGATGCCTGTTATGGGCTGTTGTGTGACTGGATCTGTGGGGAAAGGCATGAAAGGCTGTTGAGGCATTGCTAGGGGATTGACCATGGGGCCGTAATCAGTAGCTGGATATGTCGGGCAGTTTGGACTGCCGGATAGGATGGGTCTATGAGTTGTCAGTCGTCGCCTGAGGAAGAAGGGGATGCACTTCCTGTACTTACTCGGGGGAAATGGGAGACGGAGGCACTGCCATGTTTTGTGTTGATCGTGGCGGAGTCGAGTAGCCTGGTACATAGTTGGGCGGGATCACGCAGGTTGGACTCTTCGTAGGCCCGGCAATTGGTCGTGTAGGTGAGCTGGTTCGTGCTAATGTGACAACCAGGCTCTGGCCTTCCCAGCCGTTGGTAGAAAGCCTATCTAGAAGCACACTGTCAGCTAGTTTCTGACTATCTGGGTTCCATGACGCACGGTAGGTTCGCCATGCTTCGTCTTCGTTCTTCACAATGATCTGGCCAAGACCGGTTGGGAATCCATGCTGGTCATCGTAGACCACGGCCTGACGGATATGTAAGGCTGTCTGGCGGACTAGGTCCTTGAGCTCTTGCCAGCGACAGTGCGCCGGTATCTGCACTCAGGGTTAGACATGGTCGCGTGTATGGGATGTACCACGTGTGAGACATACGCCCTGGAGGAATAGAACGAATTCCTCTTCTGACCTTCCGGATTTTGTCATTCGGCCCTTCTCGCGTGGAGGGAAAGGCATGATAGTGTGGTATAGTAGGGATCGATATGTCAGATCCCCTGAGTGCTCGGAGAATGGATGAAGAGTAGGTGGACCCCGTGAGCTTAAAAGCCTGTGATCTTCTGACAAAAGAACTATTTCCGATGATTTTAAGCTTCAATGCGCAGGATGGACTCGGTTAGCAGGGGGGTAGTGACCTAGACGCTAGAATATAAGTATCGGGGTTTGGTCTGACGGTCTCACACCCGGGTAGTATGACCAATGATGCCCAAGGGGATTATGCTTACTGATTCGTCCTTAAAGACCCCGGTCGCTATTCAGAACAATCAGGTACGGTTTGAAGAAGAGAAACAGATCCACAGGAAAAATGTAAGAGATCGAGGACCAGTGCTTCGTGGGTTTTATGTCAAGATTGGAAGACAAGCGCCCGAGGGTTGATCGACCTTCTACATCGAAAGCGGCCCACCGAAGGCGAAAAGTGTTGAGGCCAGTGCTGAAGCAGCAGCAGGTAGAGTAAGGAGGGCCAGAATAAGAATAGCAAAGACAGGAAGAATGTCCGAGGGAGTGGAAACGGAGAGGACAGTAGGACCCGTGAGGATAAGATTAGTGGAACGAGGCCAGGAAGCAGAAGGAAAATAGACGAAAGCCACCGATGCATCCGCTGACGAATTAAAAGGGGGCGCAGTTGGTGCTGGAGAGCTTGCGAGGGAATTCTGAGCCTGACGCCTGGAGGAGACTGGGATGGGTCAATTTGGGAGCACTGGCAGAGGCAGTTGGGAGGAGAAGGTGGTGGTAGTGGTGGTAGTGATCGCAGTCGAGGGATCGAAAGAGGACGGGGCCCAAGCAGGCTGATGATGATATGTCATGCATGATCAACAGTGATGGATAAGAAAAGATGGAGACTCACTATTGAGCTTGAGTGGCCGAATAAAGTGATGGAGTCAAAAAAACCAGATGAGAGGGAAAAAGAAAGAAGTAAGTACAGTAGTTAGTGGATGAGTAAAAGAATGATTGAATGAGGAGACGGGGGAGAAAAGAAATGAACTGAACTGGAAAAAAAAGAAAAGAAAAAGTAAATATAGTTAGTTGATTAAATTGATTAGTTGCTGTATGATGGCTGACTGACTTGCTGGGCATAAACTAAAAACCAGTCATTCAGTCAGCCAGTTCTGTCAATCAGAGCCAGTGAGTTGACGATTGAATTAATTGATTGAGAGATTTCTATTTGTAGCAAGAAAGTTAATGATTTCTTCACATAGTGTGCTGCGTGAGATTGAACTAACTAGCAGCCGGTATTGCTCATGTAGCACCAGGAAAAAAGTACTGTTAGAGACTAGTAGAGAAGCAGTGAGAGACACTCGAAGTATATCCTCGAGTTAAAGCTGCAATGATTGATTGGTAAAGATCGGAAAGTAAATGACGATGAGAATGGGCACAGTCGCCAACAACAGAAACCTAACCCAACATCATGGATCCAGCCCTTTCCTTCAATGGCACTCCTCAACACCAACTCCAAAATAACCTCCATGGACTCATAACTCATCACTCATCACACCTTTTCCTCTTCATCCGCCGCCTTCATTCCAATACACTCGAGTACGTCACGCTTGGCGGACAGGGTTACACCGCCAGATCTCAGGGCAGCCACAACAACAACAAGGTCTCTGTCCTGTCCAGTCAATCAAGTGAAAAAATTGGTCTCGAATAAAAAAAATAAAACAAATAGATTAATTAAAAATATACCAAGAATCGCTGCTGACGGGAAAACAAAAAACAGAGTTGATGGTGGACCATCCGCCCTGCATCGCCCTGAAAGGCAAATGGCATTGCGCTTTTCCGTTAATATCATCCTCATCCTCATCCTCACCTTCGGTCAGCCCTGCGGTGGCCAGAAATATTTTCCCTCAAAGAAGGGCAGCCAACCAAAATAAGTAGAGATCCAATATTATGTTAGCAGACAGCTGATGCGACACGGAAAACGATGTTTCTTTTTTGTTCCGCTTTCCCTTCGCATCCCTTGGGTCACCTTCATCATACTAAGTAAGCAGCACTGCAAGCAAAAATAGAATAACCTCAGCCCTGAAATGGGGATGTGGAGTTACACAGTCGGACTTGTCTCATGTCTGATCATGAAAGGTCAAAGACTGCAGCATCTTCACCCGGACTCGACCTCTCCCCACCTCTTTCCCTCCTCTTTCATCAGGCCTCTCCTCATTGCTGCACTAGTAAGTTCGGGTTAATTGTCTCGGTCTCAGCCCATGTCTCCACAGATGGTAGTCATCCAGGAATGCATCGCAGCAGAGATCAAAACGAAATGAAATGCAGCAACAGCAGACCAGCCAGAGTAACTACCCAAGCAAGCGAGCTTCTCAAGCAGCCTATTGAACAACTTGCGTCTCCCCAGTCGGATCCAGCCTTGCCCCTTGATTCGGTTCTGGGACCACCCAGATTCGGCCGGGAAGATCCCTGAAGCCACCTGCATATGAGGTATCCATTTCCAACAACAGTCGCAGTCATCGCCTAAGTAGGTCCGGTGGTCTTGCCGCCCGGGAGTACCTGTCCACTCCATGCATCGAAACCTTGCCACTCCAGTCACCGCCGGCGCTGAGCGATACATCCAAAAGAATGTCACACGGCAGCTGGCCGTATATTGTTAGAAAGTCTGGTCAGTCACCGGGAAGCGTTGGACGGGAGACACCAACCAACGCCCGGGCAGCAGGCGTCAGGCTCCGGTAACCGCTGCGACCAATGTGGTTTGGTGAGGTGAGACTAGGAGCAATAGGATGGGAGGGCTGAAAGTGGATGAGGATGTCATCGGATCCCATTTACGGGAACCTACAGCTGGAAAAAAAGAAATGTAAAACAGAGAGAGGGAGAGAGAGTTATCAGGGAAGCCACTCTAAAACGCCAGGTACTGGATTAAACTGCCGAGATAAGCCGCTGCAATCCGAGTCTAATCTGTCCGCGCCGGGACCTTGACTCTTCCGAATCAGGTATCATAGAGGTGATTGTCTGCTTCAGTCGCCTTAGATCTCACCTATGAGTGTGAATGATTTGAGTGTGTGTTTGTCCATTTGATCAAGCCTGGCTGAGTCACGATCATGGCGGCAGATCACAAACTATCTAGCTTACCTTCCCCCAGAAACTCCGCTAAAAATCGATAGTCGGACGATCGACCCATACAACATAGTAGACTTTAGTTGGTGATTAGGCACGCCCTCGCCCTCGCCCTCGCCCTTGCCCTCCGCCCACGGGCCCGCGGCTCTGGTAGGATCTCCCACTAGCAAGTACTCGTTGATGACTCCATACCCAACCAGGCGAACAATCTAGAAGGGATCGAGGAATTCGTGACCCATCGGGATCCCGGGGACCTAAAAAACTTGAAGCTAGACTAGAGGATGCTATCCGTCGTGGCTGGCTCAAGATCTCTCTCTCCACTTGAGATGGAACCATCTTGAAATCTTCATATTCCCGATCAGGGAAGACGCTGGATGTTCCTGGTGGATTACTTACTTACCGGTCTCGGTCGCGTGGACGACTAAGCTTTGATCGTGTCACTGCCGTACGAGGAGGTTAAAATGTCCTGTCGCTCCGTGCCTGGTCGCGCCTACCGATTACATACATGAGCAGCACAGTAGTCTGCGGACTATTGAACACTACGACCTATTTCATGTCTGCGTGGGACCCCGATGATGTGAAGATGGGATCTCTTGTGATCGTAGCTACGGGGCGTAATCGCTGTTCTGCTGTGGAGCGGAAACCTAAGATTATTGCTTGGTTTCTTTGGATCGTAACGTTGCTGTGATACTGAATCTCGAAGTCATGACTTACCTTCCTGTCTGAGACTGGCCGAATTGGGAGATCCGGTCGATCGCCCTCGATTCCTCAGGACAACAACTCACTAGATTCAGACAACTACCATGGAACGGAGCTCTGAGGAACGAGCTCTACCTGTCACATGCAATGGGACATAGCGGCCACCGACTGGATCGCAATTGGCAATGCCATTCCTGTCACCTATCGAGGCTCACTCGGGGATTATCTGACATTTCCGCTAACACGGTGACCATGGGATAAATCGTCTGCCGACCATGACATCGGGCAGACCGTTCTGCAATACTTGAGGTTTTATACAGTACCACGCACATGATGCTTTCACACTGGGTGACACCATCGAGTTGATTATCTGAGCTCTCCAGCGCACAGCCACCCATTGCAGTAAGCCAATCCTGAGGCTTTCTCCCGTCCCCTCATCGCCCCCCTTCTGCCCTTCAGGTGCTTTCCCCCCATCGCTCGCTCAGTGCTAACCCCGATACTAGCACCATAGCACGGTGGACCCCGAGCAAAGTAGACGAGACGATGAAACGAGGCCAAACCCACGACTGAAATGAGCCACGACCCACTGATCAGCGACACCCACCATTGCCGACACCACAAAAGGGGTCGGTCAAGCAATCTTTCGGGTGTGGCTTGAAGGGCCGCCCGTCACAACCTCCATTAGGTAATCCAGCGTGAATTTCCTCTCTTTTTCTAACTATTATAGTCTGCAAAAGCAAAAGTTAGTTTAATGTGAGTGATCTCCGTTGTCCCAGACGGCTGACTTGCTGTCCCTGACTCGCTCGGGGTTCGAATCGGGCTCTGAATTTCTGATACAACACAAGCGTGACAAGACACCTGCCATCGATCCGATCACGGCGTCTCTTATGCGGGGCAACGCCAAAGTACTTACGGAGTACTTTGCTCACACTTACGTGTCCGTGTTACAGGCAACCAGGCTAATGTCCCATCACTGTAAGGGGGAAGAGGAGGAAGAGGGGTGGGTGGGCAAAGGGGAAGGAAACAATGGAGGGGTAAAAGGTCCGTGGACGGACCCCCCATGTAATACCTAGTATACGGACTTCACCGTCGTTGTTTGCTTGTGGTTGTCGTCACGCTCAAAAGTCGGGGGAATAAAAAGAAAAGGAATGGAGGAAAGAAGACGAAAGAGGGGGGGTTCAGCTTTCCCCCCCCCCCCCCTCCTTGGCGCCAAAATACGGAGAAAAAATCCCAGGAATTACGGGGTTTAGGCATTACACGAACTACGGGGTAGACACCAGTCCAACCAACTAAAACCTACCACCTACTGACAATTGCAGTTAGTAGGGACTCAGTATCTACATGCTACTAACCCAACACGGAGTACGCTCAGTACTCACATTTGGGACTCCGCTTAACGCTAGTCAGAGCTAGCTTGAGAACCGGTGCTCTTAGTTCTTTTGCCCAGCGTTTAAGACCAGAATTACCAGTAATAATAGCAGCAGCAGCAGCAGCAGCAGCAGCAGCAGCAGCAGCAGCAGCAGCAGGGGCAGGAAGGAGCAGTAGCAGAAAGAAAAAAAAAATAAGAGAGGGAATAAGAGAGAACAGGACTATGCTATCCTCTCACCACAGTAACTAACTACCTACCTACCTACCTACCTACCCCTTCAAATTAAATCCCCAAAACCCAAATAAAGTAATACTACCAAAACCACTCAGATAGTCAATAGTTTAACTAAGATAGATAGGACAGATAACTAGCAATACCTGAAACAAACAAACCACCAAACCACCACATTCCGAACAAGCGGGATCATCCCGCGTCCCAGCCCATCCCTACTGTATCTATCTATCTAGTACTATAGTAGTATCTATCAGCCCCGGACCATAACGCGCGCGTGGCTTGAGCACCAACACAGTACACTAAACCCCAATCTGTCCATTCATTCCTTTCCTCCTTCAGTCAGTCAGTAAGTAAGTACATACGGTAATAACGAATAAGTAACATGTTCGTATCTACACTCCACAGTAAGTAAGTAGTATCCCGGCCGATGATCGTTCCTCCCTCCCTGTCCGCCGCCCGTCTCTCTCCCTATCTTTTTCTTTCCGGGGGGAGAAGATTAGCGTTTAGGCTCTCGGGATTTACATTACGATTGGCACGGCGCATGGATTATGTATGTATGTATGTATGTTTGTCACAGGATGAAGAAGGGGGAAAAGGAAATTGAAATCGGGAATTGGAATTGGGGTTGAAATCTGGGGATTTAATTGCATCATTGTGCTTAAGGATCTGTCATTCTCGCATGCCGGATGGGTTTCGGGTGAGGGGTTTTCAGTTTTGAGATTTACTTGGTTGGTGGGTATTATTTGTATGTATGTAGGTAGGTAGGTAGGGGTTTGATTTGAGATAGATGGGATGATGGGGATGGAGATTAGGTGATTTGAGTTTGAAGTGTTCTGCAGAGCTTGATTGCATTGCTTGTTTCTTTTTGTTTGGTAATGTAGTTATTACTGTTTTAGGTAGGTAGGTAGGTAGTAGTGTGGTAGATTTCGCTAATATGACTATATGTGTGTATTGGTATTGTGGAAATTGGAAGAGTTGAGAGTTGAAGGTAACAAAGACATGGTGTATGTAGATCATTTGTGTCGTCTTTCACACAATAGAATCCAAACGGTAAACAAATAACCCCCCTTTCCAAGTAACAAATCAAGATAAAGCAAGTACAGGGTATCATAGTAGGCTAGGCTAAGGTAGCAGGCAAGCAATTCTTTCAAATCAATTCACAAAACAGTAATAATATCTCCAATTTCAACGGCAAAGAAAAATTCCTCGGTGCGGTATGGTGCGAGTGGCGGGGATGGAAGGAATTGGACGATCATCATTGAGCGGAGCGCTGTTCGCATGGAGAGTGGGACTCTGCTCAACGAGATGATCATCATCATCAGCCCTCGCCCCTCCCCCCTGCCTGGTCGGTGACACCGCCACGCGGCCCCGCGCCAATACAAATTCCAATTCCACATGCTGAATTTAATATTCGCGTAATGTAGGGCGCGTTGCGGGGTGCAGGAGGAAGGAGGTTCGATATTTGCAGTCGCGGTTGTGTATGTTTGATTTGCGACAGCACATGAATCGCGCCAATTTGCGAAATAATCGGCAGGGCACCGAGGAACACAACCAGATTCAATAGCTAGTATCCATATGGGGTAAACCGGCGACGCAGGAGTACAGGATCAACATGCGCAAACCCTCACTCAATCAGACACAACAAAGAATCAACAATCTGTGCCAGCACAGTAACATTGGTCCCGAGTAATGCATTGTTGGGTTGAGTAAACGGCGAGGCGAAGAAAGGGTGTAGAACCAGCATTTGTCACGTCGAAAGTCGGCTTTGTCTTCTCACTCGTCTCCGCCCGTTGTGGAATCCCACCATCGAGCTGGGATAGCGATAGAGCGGACGAAATAATTGTGTCGCTTTGTCGGTGGTAGTAGTAGTGGTGTTGTCCCTTCTCTCATTTCCTTGAGTTCGCAGAGAAACGTGGGTTGGTTGGCTAGTCCGAGTTGAGGGCTTCAGCGGATGAAGCCGACCATGGATGCGCAGCGACTGCAGTAGTAGGAATTCATGCCGAAACGAACCACGCCGGGAGAGGATTCGTTTTCGAGACTCATAGATCGTTGACAGCGAGAGCAGCGCACAATGTCGAAATTCATGGAGCCGGGGGTCGAGCCAGTCGGGGATGTGACCCCCTTTGTGGCGCCGGAAGGTTGCGGTTGAACTTGCACCGAGGAAGAGCTCATCTTCTCCTTTCCGCTCCGGTTGGGGGTTCGAAAGAAAAAAAGATGAGCTTTGTGGTGACCAGTGAAGTTGGGCGCAATTTCGATATCCGAAGTTCTGCAAAAATGGGGGACCGAGAAAGGTCGAAAATGGTTTTTGGAGAATGGGGGGTGGAGGGGAGGATGAGTGGTTATTTAGGCACGTTCAACTGGGTGGCGGAGTCGATTAGATTGTCTTGGGAAAACACGGAAATACAA